TTATTTAAATTAAAGAAAATAACTTACAATCGTCTGCATTATAGAAGACGCACAGTATAAAAATAACAAACTTCCCCTCACTTTCGCCCCCCGTGATGTGTCACCGGTGCGCCGGCCGGCCCATGACTAGACAAACTACAAGCTCGGTCACGCCCTTGCTCCGCCTCGCCTGCTCAGGGCGCGAGGGCGGTCAAGACGGGCGGCGGCGGGTCCGAGTCGCCGTCCAGGTGGATGTTGAGGGACTTGTGGATGCGGGAGAGGGCGCGCGAGGCGGACGGCTCCTCGATCTGGCAGATGAAGCGGAAGCGCGCCGAGCAGTCGCCGCCCTGGTAGTTGTACTGCCGGGTGGCCGGGTTGTAGGCCAGCTTGAGACAGCGCCCGTTCCCGGGGATGTCCTCGGCGCCGGGGTTCTTGACGGCGTTGGCGCCCGTGCCGTTCTGCGCCGGTGAGGACACGGGGCGCGCGCTGTTGGCCCAGATCCACAGCAGGCCGGGGTTCAGCCCCCCCGTCCAGAAGTCGCGGCCTTCGACAAAGACAATATGTTGGACGCGGTGGGAGGACAAATGAGACAGATGAATGGAGGGCGGGCGAGGGAGCGGGAGCGAACATGGTCCAGCGGAAGGCGCACGACCCCGCTGAGAGACTCACCCCTGAACTCCTGCTGCGCAGTGATCCAGTTGACGAGGTCGCGCTTGTCCTCGGGGGCGATCACCTCGACGAGGATCGAGTCCATGGCCTTGCACGCCGACGAGGCCGACTTCCAGTTGAGGTCGCGCCCGGAGAAGTGGTAGCAGTGCCGGCCGGCCCGGGTGAAGTCTTTGGGGCAGGGCTCTGCGGCTGCGAGCGGGCAATGCGATATTAGTAGCGGGGGAAAGAGGAGGGGGGGGGGCAGTCAGTGCTTCGTTAGAAAGCACGTACCGTCCTGCTTGTTCGCGGCGCCCTCCATCAGGTAGTAGACGAGCTCCTCCGTGCGCCGGAGTCGCTTCTCCAGGTGGTCGACGCGATACACGAGCTTCTCGATGGCGCCGAGGAGGTACATGTCGGTCTCCGAGACGGTGCCCGGGGCTCCCGAGGCCCCGCCGGCCGACGGACGGCTGGGCTTCTTGGGCGGCTGCGGCGGCTTCCCGGACTCCACGAGGTTGTCGATGCGGTCACCGGCTGGCGGGCTGACGGCGTGAAAAGAGGCACTGGTTGAGTCGGGAACCTGCTGCAGAGAAGTTGTTGTGCCCCGTAGCTGCCGTCGGCGTGGTCGGGGTCGGGGTGGTCATGCGGGTGGCGGAGAGAGGCAGGACTTTCGCCAGCGACAGTCTCCCCCCCC